GACACGCTGAGCCCGGGAGGGCCCGCGCCGGTCCCACCGCCGGTCGCAGCCTTGGCGCGGGCAAGTAATTCTTTAGAGAAAATATTTAGGCTATGTGGAAGGTGACATAACATATATGAAACAATTTTATTTCCTGTTTAGACCTGGTTATCTTCATTGTATCGGTGTGTATCTCATTGTATTTGTATCTTGCATATTTGTTTTTTATTGATTGATCTATGGATTGATTTGCAAGAGGTTATGTGTGCTTGCCAGAGAGAGAGAGAGAGAAAGAGAAAAAGAGAAAGAAAGAGAAAAAAGAGAGAAATAAAGAGAGAAAGCACCGCCATAGGAAATGGCCATACCACAGTCCCTTCTTCTTCATTTCTCCCTTCTTTCAGGTTTTTGGGCAGGGATGCACACATGCCTTGGCATGTGTTTCAGCCTGCTTGGTCTGCGACTTGAACTGTGGTCAGCCATGTGGGATCCAGCCCAGGCCACTGGTTGGCCAACATATTTGTATTTGTATGTTGGATAACTATATTGTATACATTGTGCAAACATCTCATATGCAAAATTTCTGAAGTCTGAAATTCAAAACACTGTGGTCCCAAGCCTTTGCGATACAGGCTATTCAACTTGTGTTTTATATATTTGCAGAGAGGTTGGCATACAGAGGAAAGAAAGCTACCTCATGTATTCATTGAGAAATTAATATAACTTAAATAACCAAATGTTGTAGTAAGTGTAGAACTGCAATGTAATAATATGTTGTTTTATGATAGAGACACCTGTAGCTAATTCTAGTTCTGTTGACTCAAATTAAATTAAAAAATTCATATCTGGTGTGTAGTATAGCCTGAATTAAACCTAGCACATCATCTCTGCCGTGCAACAAGTGCTTTTTACAAGAAATTTTTAGAGTAGCTACTTGATTATGACAGAATAAATTTGGTATAGATTTAAAAATACACACCTTTTTTTTTAAAGCTATAATTCAAATATATATGGCTCACTTTTTAAGATCCTTCATTGGTAGGTAAACAGTAATTAGAAATAATGCTATGTAAGTTATATTTATTTTCTGTCTAGGTTTGAATTTTGTTTAATCAAGATAGATTGCCTAAAGCTAAGTGACATTCCAAAATTTTAAATGTCCTATAATGAAATTGACATTTTCAGTTGAAGTGAAATGCCTTAGGGAGTAATCCTGTTGCAGAAATGTAATTGGATGGAAGACTTATATTAGCAGAAGTACTCTTAGAATATTAAAAGTGTGATTGTGCTGTTTTAGCTTGAGAAGAAACCTTTGGCAGTTCCCATCAACTTTAAAATCACCAGGTATACTTGAGTTTCCTTATGTAATTTTGAATTTTAAAAATACATTGCAGTACTTTAAATATATTAGAATTCAAACTCAAATACTCAAGCTTACAGCTTTCACTAAAATGATTATGGACAGTGCTAGCCCCTGTGGCCTATTGGTTTAGGGAACTAGATCCCATGTGACGGCGGTTTGAATCCAGGCCCTAGTGGCTTGAAAAACATGCCAGGTGCATGTCTGTGCATGCTCCAGATGGAGAAATGGAGAGAAGATTGTGGTGTGATCATGTCTCACTGGGAAGTGCTTTCTCCTTTTTTCTGTCTCTTTGTTTCTCTCTGGCAAGAGCACATGCCCTCTGGGAATTAAAAAACAAACAAATAAATAAAACTATTGTGAATAGAATTCATCTGTTCTTTTTTTGTTGTTGTTGTTACCTATTTATATAATATCTTTGTAAGAAATTATAAGATGGGACCAGCATTTGGCACA